AGGGGGGGGGGGGGGAGAACTGCAGAAGAAAGCCAACACCACAGAGCACCTCAAGCTCAGAGCAACACCTGAGAATCCCAGCCCTGCAGACTTCTGTGGCGTCTAACAGGACTGCAGTCAGAAAAGCCAAGCCAGGTCTAACCGTGACAAAGACCAGGCATACAGAGCAGTTGCAAAGGAGGTCTCTGTAACAAAGAGGGAAGACAGAAGAGGCAGGTTAGGAAAGCTACCCTATCATAACCCAACTCCCTTCTCACATACACTGCCCAACAGCCCAGGACCCCATTCCAAAGTGGAAAACAAGAAAAAGAATGTGAGCAACCTCCAAACCACGCTATTATGTTAAAAACTACAGAATGACAGAAAAAGGAGAAAGAGTGAGTGAGAGGCAGGCAAAGGAAAAGTGATGTATTTAGAAGGAGTCTTGAAGGAGTACATTTGAACAGAGGAAAGAAATCATAGTTCTTTTTTTGTTTGTTTGTTTGTTTGGTTTGGTTTTTTTGAGAGAGGGTTTCCCTATAGTCTGTAGTTGGTAGAACATGTAGGTCCTCCTACATGTACAGTTGGAAGTTTTATGGATTTTTTTGTTTGGTTGGTTTGGGTTTTTTGAGAGAGGGTTTCTCTGGTAGTCCGTCGCTCTTGTAGACCAGGCTGGCCTCGAACTCGCAGAGATCCACCTGCCTCTGCCTCCCGAGTGCTGGGATTAAAGGCTTGGGCCACCAAGCCCAGTAAGAAATCATAATTCTAAAAGTATCTTTTCTCAAATAACAGGACAGAATCCTGTAAACAAGTGTTCTGTACATTTAGAAATATTGATCCAAAAACAATCAACAAACTGTATCACAGACCATTGAATTTAAAAGTAAGGAGAAAATTCCTTTGGGCAACCAAGCAAAATCTGAATCACTTATGAGAGAAAGTTGGGATGGCATTAGGTTTCTGGGCAACATTCTATCCATAAGCTTTTGGGAAAAATATGGCTGAAATACATGAGTAAATGTAAGCCAAAAAGTATATTAACTGCCAAATGTCCTGTAAATATAAATGTGGTTTAAAAACATACAAGCAGGTATTTTTCTCATGAACAAATTTTCCATGAAAAAGATTCCTGAAAAAAAAGAAAAATCCCCTAGAAAAGAACTCCAGAAAACTAACAACTAGAGACATTTCCCATAGCTCTGCGCACACACAGACAGTGCAAGCTTTAATACGAGGTCTGGTTGGTTCACCATTAGGCCTATCTTCCACTTCTCTTTATTTCCTGACAGACTATCAATCAAAATGCATTCTTATATCCAATATGCTTCTAAGCAGCATCCTCTAGCTGAACTTCTGGATTTTATAATTCCTTTATATTTAAAAAACAGGATTTAGACATTAAAGGCTAATTATGTCATAAAACTAATAGACTGCTTTGTGGGGGGAAGGTCATAAAGAAGACATTTGATAAAGGCACAAGTCATTAAAAAAAAACCCAAAACTTCCAATAATAGTCATTTGGCTTTGTAGTTTCCAGAGACCAAAGTGACAAAGAAATATATCAAGCATTCTACATAACAAAATTGTTAATACTAACCTGATAAGCCCTGTTTATTTGATTAGCAGCCCAACTAGCATATTTGATGTTGTCCTTTTTCATTTTTGCACTTGCTTTTGGATTAGAAGCAATATGACTTGCAGACTAAAAACAAAAAAGAAACATCGAAAACAAAATTCTTTTCTAGTTAAGATAATAAAAAACATGCAAGAGTCACAGCTGGAGAGAGTTGATAAAATAAAAATAACACTGAATGAAATCAATGCTCAAAAATTAAAATGTACTTTAAAATGCAGTATAATCCCCAAAATAACAAGACTGAGAAAATTTTAAAGTTTATCTAAAATTATTAACTTATGTAATCTACATCAGCTCTTAAAGGTAAAATCTCTATCACTATGAAATCATACTTTTTAATTCAAAGCACTTTACTTAGGGTATTGTTATTTCTTGCTACTGAAAAATATTAAATCTCCAGTATCAAATATGAACAGAAAGAACCTCAAAAACAATTTAGCACAACTTCCTGTATTAACAGGTGAAAAACATTCAGGCCAGTAGAAATAATCTAACTTGATGAGAACAAGTTAATGGAGGCCTGTGACGTAGAGAGGACACTTCTCTCTCATCAGCTTCCAACTGTACTCCACAGAACTCAATATTCACTACAGTTTCATCTGCCTTTAAAAAGGATGTAGTTGGATGAGAGAGTCTTAGCCTAGTATCTACAAAACAGCCTATAAACCTTCAAAAAAAACGCTGGTTTTAAAATAGATCTTTACATTTCTGGGAAGAGGAAGGTTGAACTCTGGTCTGATTTCTAAATATACCTATTCTAAGGGTCTGCCTGTGAGACTCAGGAAAGGCTACGCTTTCCTTTTGTACCCGGTCTCCTTCAGGCTAGCTACTCTCTACTCTGCAGTCGGTGGGATATCTGTATTCTTGTAGCACATTTTTACAGCTCTGAGTTATTTTCACATTTTGGTATGAAATCCAAGTGGTTGACAGACTGAATAATTGAATACCGGGGCTGGAATCCCATCTTAACATAGGAGCTTTATGCTCAGCTTTGAGTAAATTAATTGTGTTTGCATCTCAGTTTCACCATCTGTGAATTTCAGGTAGCAATTAGAGCATGTGTTTAAATAGCTGATATGAATACCTACCTACTGATTTAAAATGAAAGCTAGAACTCAGAGCAATGTCTGGCATACAAGATGCTCTATACAAGCAAGTAATTCTTGGTAAAAGCCGTGATAGAGCTCTAAAAATGGCCGTTTGATTTACTAGATACTGCTAACTAATAGGTGCATCTCCAAGACACTGCAGTTGTTTCTGGTAGAATCAAAGAAAACTTTGCTCAAATTCTTTTGAGGTCTACTTTAACCATATTTCTTTCATAAAACTTATTTGTTTCTTCATATTACTATGCTCTCAATCAATTCTCTTTCACTGTCTTCAACAAGAAGACATTAATCAAAGCATCAAAAAAAAAGACTAGGATATTATTGACAAGAGTAGCTGGACTCAGTACACGGGTTTGAGAGGGAAATGAGGGGGAGATGGAGGGAGAGGAGGAATTTCATTAAAACATTACACTCAGGTTTGAAATTCTCAAGTGAGAAATTTCAAAAAGAAGGAAATTTACAAGAGGTAAATCACAATTCCAAAGAATTGAGGGACCTGTTAATTTCCCTACCCTTTCTGACTGCAAACAGATACTCATTTTAAAAATATTCTAAAGCTTGACAAATTTCCCTTTTCCCATAGTTCTTGCTAATTGAAGTTTGTAAGCTCTTCACGGGGCATGCATAAATGATAACTATGTAATCCCACAAATAATTTTCAAACTGTTTTTCTATACCCTTAAAATATTTAAAATTTGACACACTATAGATTTTACTCTCTAGCACTTTTTATTGGCACAGTTTAAAATATCTTTTGTGTTTATAATTAGGGAAGAAGTACAATATCACTGGGTACACACCCAAGAATATCAAACAAATGAACAATATGCACCATGCTTTAGTATCTAATACTGTTCAATTTTGATATGCCAAATATATCTCAAATGAAAGGTCAAAGTGCACAGATGTAGGAAAAGTCACAACTAAAGCTGCTTTGCAACGTCTTGTTCACAATTAACTATGCTCCTCAACAGAATACAGAAGGCCAGACTCCGCACAGTAACGCTCAACACGCACATCAACTCACCATGTAAAGCCCAAACAGAGCTCTCATGTTTCGGTTGTTGAGTTTCAGTGCCTGTGCAAAATACTTTCTTGAAAGCTCGAGGTTTTCAAGTCCACCTTGGGTGTATTTGACCTGTTAAGAGTCACAGATTGCTGAAGCCTGTTTATTTTACTACTTTGAAATGTAGCATGTCCCATCATACATAGGCATTAAGTAATGAGAACAGATATGCTATAAACAAATGCAACATGCTAAAGGAATTCACCTTAAAGTAGTTCATCTACAATTTAAAACACACCCTTGCCCTTGCCGAACTCTTCTCTGCTATGAACATTAAGGTCATGGAGTAGCTGTTATAACCAAAAGTTTGTCACATTAAAAAACATAGCACAGTTTCATTTCAATGGTCTTGCCGCAGCACAACTCTGTATTTTCTACTTCTTCTATTATAAATCTAACTCCAAATATGAATTCGCCATTTTACATCTGCACTTTAATAATGAAAGCAATAATAATTTTATATTCTTTTACACTGAGGTCTTTGTAACCTTACAGCATTCAGGGATACTGCAATTCCTAATACTGTGCAAATTAAATACATATTTCCTATATCTCATGAATTTCCTAGAATATGTATTTAAAAGCACTCATCTTTATAAATATCCCAGGCACAATTAAATATTGACAACTGTGATGTAACTGATTCATAATTAGGAAAGAACAACATAAATACTGTATTAAACTACAAAGAATTTCAGTTTATCTGGGACTTCTAACTGAAAAGTTAGCATTTCAATTCAATATTTAAGTTTTTTCACTTGTATTTTCTCACTACTTATGTTATAAAATACTGATAGGCTTGTCTTTCATGAGGAAAACAGACTTCATAGCATAACGGCAGACAAACCCGCAGAAGTCACCTCAGGGTTGTAGCTGCAAACACTTACTTCAGCGTACTGCTGGCAGTATAAATGGTTGTGAGGGTTAGTCATCATTAGCTCCTCCAAGCAAAAGGCTGCCTTGGCATAGCTGCAAAGTATTCATGGGGTAGAGTCATTCTGTCACAAGTTTATTAAACATAACCTTGAAATAATGGTAAAACCTTAGCGGCATCATATATTTATTTCTGAAATAAACAGATTTCAAGCATTTATTAAATCAAAATACTAATATCCAGACTTTTATTGAAACAAATAAACAAATCTATGTTGAAATTCCAAAGTAATCTATAAATAATCAAAGGATATTAGTTTTCTAACAGTTGGCTCACTCCTGAGGCACCTACACGTCAGTACCTCAGGCTCCACCTGAGAGTGGTACGCAGTACAACTTCCGTAAGTCCTATCAACACTCAGTTACAGTAGCAGAAGGAAATACAGCATTTAGTGAAATACTGTCTAGTCGCTACACAACCTTCAGTTTATTCTATAACAAGGACTTTCATTAAGTTTATATTCAAATATCAAATCAGAATAACATCGTATGTTTCTAAAGCTATCAATAACAGGTGAAGTCAGATCTGATGTGTCTTCCACTACTATCAAACCGAGTGGTGTTGAGAACACACGGGGAGAGCTGTCAGGGCAATTCTGGTAGAGACAGCTTTTAGACCTTTCTAATTTTATACGCTTCAAGCTGTGTAACCATCCTCACTATTTATGGGAAATCTAAAGAATACTTAGCTGTTGCAAGATTAATTCCAAGGGAGGTGGTAACCCTACTCAACAGAACAAGGCTAGCTACTTGCTAGCAATATGCCAATATTAACATCTGCCATCTTTTCTGAAATGCATAGTCTAAATCCACACTTAGTCATTTAGTGTTCATCAGACGTCCTGCAGCTACTCAAAATATTTAAATGTACCAACCCATTTTATCTTTCCAAAACCCAAAAAGGGAGAAAATTAATGTTAAGGTTGTCTAGCAGAGAACAGAGGTACATGGAAGTCAGCTATAACCCAGGCTGCACCACTGCAGACAGCCATGATAGACCACTGCCTGTCCTGCCTATATAGAGCTCCACACACGACTACAGAAAATTGTGTTGACAATAGTAAGAAACTGACAGTGGGTACTGCATTAAAACACAAAGGGACCAAGGAACTAAATTCATCCTGGAAACTCTCAAAAAACGTATTTTAGATTTCTGGATCTTACACACAGATCCCTATTCAACTTCTGCAGCTTTTTAGCTCTTCTTATCTTTACCTAAAACTTAGAATTCATTTTTGAAAAGGTATCCATTAAATAAGTAGCTGAAGAAATGACTAAGTACAAATCTAAATCAAAACCACAATGACTATCTAACATCTACTTACCTAAAAAATAACAAGAAAGCAGTCTCTCTCTTAGACATTCAGTATCTAAAAGTGTTCCTTTATCTAACAGGTCAGCAAAAATTCAAATTACGGTTAAGAGGAAATGCTCTTACAAGACTCAGGTGGGTTTTGATGCAGCATACAAGGTAAGGCAGGGAACACTGCAGTTAGGGTGGTAGAATTTAAAGTAAATTTAATAGTGACTTTACCTTCTATTGGCATTTCTGTATTAAGTATTTCTTTACCTTCAAAAAATAAAGAGTTCCTTGATAATTTGAGATTTTAAAAATTGTTTTAGTTAGGAATTTTCAAAAAATACAAAGAAATTGTAAATGATTACCCTCCCTTTTGAAAATAAAATATAATGTTAGTATTTGCAATGCACACTGAACATCTAGTTTTCTATTGAAACACTGTATGTGGTTCACATGAAGACCTATAAACGTGTCCTGTGAACACAGCTCTGAAACACTGTATGTGGTTCACAGGGAGACCTATGTACACCTCCTGTGCACACAGCTCAGTACACAGATCCCTCACCCTGGAAGAGATTCTGACACAAGACAACACAGGATGAAAGAATGGCTCTTGGATGTCACGTGCATGCTACAGGACAGCTATGGCTGTCATCCTAGACAGCACTTTCAATAAAATCATGAACATGATGCCCACAGTCCTTTGTATGTGCAGACTTGGGCAAAGGCAGCATACAAAGGTCTCATTCTGCTTGATTTCAGGTATCATCTGTGTGTGTGGAGTACTGAGAACAAAGTTAACTATTCCCACAAATAAGAAAATGTACATGGGAATCTAATTCTGTTCATCCAAAAGGAAGCAAAGATACAACGTGATGTTCCTCAGATTTAGGGCTAAAAGGGAAAGGAAAAGCAAACTCTCACACCTTACACAGAGGCTGGCGCTGATGCTGTGACGTCTGTAAACCCCCATAGGACCCTGCACTAATCCTTTCACACCGGGATTTCCTCTTGTCACTACAGCAATAAAAACCAACAAAAACATTAACTATCCAATAACCAAGTTCCTACAGCGCCCAGCATTCCTGCTTACACTCCATTTTCAACCCAGGCAACAGGGCGCTTCTGCTCTGGAAGAGCTGATTCTCTTGGGACCAAGGCTAATAAATGCATACAATTGACTGAATTTTTAAACAGCGGGGAGCATAATACTCTTTGTATATGAGAACAATCTGAACTCTAAAATTCACAATTTTGATTCCCCCAAAGTAATAGCTTAGCAAAAGGCCTTTCAGATTCCAAAGGATCCCATTTGTTTTTCAAAGAAAATCTTATTTTCTGAACAATAATATTTTAGTAAAACCAAATGACCCAGTTAAAAGCTATTTACGTATTATAGCTATAATTTTTATTTATTATTTTTCACTTATTTGCTCATTTAATTAGTTCCTCCTCATCTACAATGCTAGGTGACTGACTTCTTTCCAATCTTCTGGGACTGAGTCTACTAAACTTTACAATTTCATTCTTAAAATTCTATGTGTTTTTAACAACTTACTCATGTTCATTGATATAAAGTTCTGCAAGCTCATGCCAGGCTTCTTGGTCTCCAACAAATCTGATGGGAGGAAATAAGGAAAAAGAATATGTGTAAATACTCTATAAATGAACACACTAGAAAATCAAATGCAAATTCCATTTTAATTAAAAAAGATTTATCAGAATAACAAAACACAATCCTCTTGTAAAACACTCACTGTTCCAGATACTCATTCAGCTCTCGAATGGCCTCCACATTTTTCCCCTGGGCTTTTCGAATGGCAATCTTACGCTTTCTTGCAGCCTATGGGGTGACATTAATAACGGATTAGGTCCTCACGTGTCCCTGGGTTTTGTAAAGAAAGTAATTTGACTGTGCAAATTATTATCTTAATGCCAGTGAAATTCCATTGTGAAAGAACTGCTTGGTGAGAGTTTATAAACATCCCCAGGACGTCCCACTGGGGAGTTGAGACAGCCCTCCAACAATCACACATGCTTTACTTTTGATGCATGCAAACCCTTATGCATCATTTCATCCAAATAAATAACCATCCAGAGCCCTGTAATTACAAGCCAGCAGGGACTCTTCATCTCTACCCAACCTAATGTTCTGTACTCCGCCTCATTC